TCAGCTGAAAGCTTGAGAGTGAGAGACCAGAGAGAAGATGTACATTGAGGTATCTCTTCTATTCTCTCATACCATCTTTGACTTTCATTAAAAAAGAAGATGAAAGGGATTTTCCTGCTGGAAAAGGAGACAACTTCTCTATTTCAGTAATCAGAGAGGAACCTGATGTTGCTTAACTTGCAGCTGCTGGAGAATTGAGTTTCTGGTCTGGTGAATTTTAACCCTTTACAAATATTGACAACCTACGAGAGAAGTGAGCAAATATGAGTGCTCAAGTTTGCTTCGAGGGAATTGTAAACTGCACTTGTTCCTTGCTCTCTGTCTATTGTCGGTCTTCATATCAGGCTTCCTCTCGTGCTGGCAGCACTGTCCTTCCTTATGAATGCCAGCTGACAGTCTGGCTGCAAGCAGTTACGCTTGACACAGTCGACAGCAGTGTTATTGGCAGCGTTATTCCTAAAAGCTTTGTCTTCGTTGGCCTGCAGTTCCCAACAATGCAGCTGTGTCTGAGTTTGCAGGGATTCAAATCTCAATCCTCAGTCCCTCAAGGGATAACCACAAATCGTACGTCCTATGGAGTCAAAGCTAAGTGCTTTCCTTTGAGACTGTGTTATGTTTTCTTATTGTAGTGTCATTTGACTAGTTAATTTGTTACATCTACTGTAAGAACAGGTGAGTTTCTGTGTAGAATATATAAGGTTTTGGTTTTGCATCAGAAAACCAAAGATCGCTCTCTTTGATTTCACTAAGAACTGTGAATTGAAGACATTTTCACTCACGTGAGATGCTAGTTTAAGCCCCAGGTGTGATAAGGCTGTTATGTTAAATCTGCAATTAGTCATTACATAATCTCACAACAGTTACGTAAGTGCGTGTATCCCATAAAGCAAAAGGGGCCAAGAGATGTATTCGTTGTGTTAAGCAGGACGCTGTGCAAGAGCTTGTGTTTCTTGAAAATACCCACAGCTCTGCGATAGATAATCTGTTAAATGTGAATGTTTTGGGATGTGCGCATCTCTGGAGCTGAAGAGATGATTCACACTCAAAGCCCTCTGAGGAGTGCCAGTAGCAGCTTTACTGTGATGCAGTTTCTCTCTTTGAAACTCCTGTGGTTCACCAAAAATTGGGCCTGACTGACTTTACGAGGCCCCTGGTAATGAAGTTCAAGGTGAAGATAGCCTGAAGGAAGGCTGCAGGAGTATTTGTGGCACTTTCCAAAAGATGGTTGTAGGATGTGTGGGTGTATATCCATGTCAGTTTTGATCTAGTGAGGAAGATACAGGATTTAGCACGTGCTACTGACTGATACAACTAGAGAGTCAGTCTTCTGCATATTTATTTAAGTTCTGAATTACAAAATGGGGACAAGGGCACTTCTATATTTTGTAGTGATTTTATGAGGAGAAATAATTTTAGTACAGAGAGAAGAGAGGTGTTTAATTAATTTAGGCACAATTTTGGTTTAAAAGTGTGGGCTTGTGTAGCTATATTGATAGACTCGCCTGTGAAGGCTTAGTGTGTGCAAGCAAAAAGCCTGGATAGCTCAAACTACTTTTCAGGAGAGAAAGAGAGGAAGGAGATATTATAGTGCTAAAAGTCTATATAACTATGTAGACTGTGGCTTTTGAGAGTAAGAATATCAGAAAATGAATTTTGTCATTAGTATTGACACAGTGGTAGAAGATACAGCCTTGGATCAGAAGGCACGGGGGATGAGAGGGAATGGCAGAATTTAAGGATAGATACAGCCAAAGTAGACTTCCGCTACAGATCAAATGTCGCATTTGGTTAAAAAAGCTTCACATTTATCTTATTGCTGAAAAAATACTTCAGCAGAGCAGGGAGTAGGTTGAACACCTTGCATTGCCAGGAGCCTTACCTCTATACAGTGCTGCAACCTTGAAGAATTTGAGGTGGGGCTGCACCAAAAACCTGCTTTTCACCTTGCAGCTAGTGTAGAATGAGGCTGGCTTCTTTCAAGAATTCAGTGTTGGTAATCTGTCTCTGATCCTCTTTTGGACATTTTGCAAATCCCAACAACTTCCTTAAGTTTTGCTAGTAGAAGAAATGGTTTGTTGTCTGCTTTATTTATTGCAAGTTTTTCCATCGTTCTATGCTAGATAATACTTTGGGCTCCTGGTCCAAATACATCTAGGTGACTATACCATCTATAATGTAAGAAAAATACAACCTTTAAAATAAGTCCTACTTGGAGTGAGACTCATTTGCCTTGGGAGAAGAGGTAGCCAAGGCTACTGGACAGATTTGGATGATGCAGCTGCTCAGTCCAGATAAATTACAATAACATTGTAGGATTGTTTACTAAAAGCCTCAGGCATAAATAACAGTAACAAGTCAAAGAGTTTATGCTACATGTGAATATGTGTGTGCTGGATGCCAGGGTGTGAAATAGAACATACAAGATCTCGCCTTTGGTCTGACTTGATTTACTTGCTTATTTACCTGGCTGTTACGAGTTCTCTATTCCCTGAGGACAGGATACAAAGAGGCTGGGAAGACTCTTAAACCGGTTGTTAATTTGCACAGATCTAGCCATTGTGCTCTACAAAGCGCTAGTTTGGGAACTGGGAATCTCAGCTTTGCCACTGGTATGTTAAATGGCTTACGGCAAATCGGTCCACCTTTGCCTTAGTTTCTATCTCTACAAAATGGGGTAAATTATCTCGACGTCCTTTCCGGAGTGCTTTAGGACTTAGTCATGTCAAAATTTTATATGTAGAGTTAGCTGATGGACTGCACATGTTTCAGAGCTGTATCACCAAAGCCATATCCATTTCTGGCAAGGCAGATCGCTATTGACCACTGAATATTAGTGTTTGATGTCCTCTCTCTTCATCTGATTTGCAGACTTTACATGTCTACTTGCGTATAGAACCTGCTGTGTTATAGTCAGCCCTTTCAAAGGGGATTGCTGGTAACAGGTGAAGATCAGCAGTCACAAGACGTACATAAACACTTAATGCATACTTCAATGTCACTGTTATGGGCCTAAAGAATTGTATGTAGGAATATGGGTAAGCAACAGTGTGATGAATCAGATCATTGGCCACTGTGTCGTATGTGGATCCCTTGCTAACTGGAAGTGTATCATTGGCACATGATACTGAAACACTGGGAGAGGTCAAAGTTTCACAAAGCAAGATACAAGCTTGAAGGGTCATACAGTGATTTGATCTCTCAGTCTTTCTCGCAGGTAGACAGGGCCTTGCCAAATGTTTTTGTGACAGGGTGGAGAAGCTACAATTCTTGGTCAAATTTATCTTCCTTGCCTGCAGCTCATGTTCTTGTAAGGGCTATGCCTCTTGTTATTCCATGATAGATTAAGAGGGCATAAGCTTAGACTGTAAAAGAATATGAAAGCAAGGGGTTTTTGATGTGTGGAGAATGAGTCTGTAAAAGAGTGTACAAAAAAAGAACTGATACTGATAGACTATGAAGATTTTTCCTTGCAACAGAGTTATAGATGAATATGAGTTTAGTAAGTTTGCATTGCCCTTAAATTAGAGGATTTTGTAACCTTTGTCACTTGCCTCTAACAAAATAGATACAAGGCACAGAGTAACTGAGGGAGCATCTTTTCAGGAGAATAGGAGAAGAGTTTCAGGCTCATTTGACTTGAATTGACAGCAGGATATTCACAGGAGAGATCTTGGAGACAGGCTGAAATGATACTTTTAACAGAAGAAGATAGGTCTGGATTAGAAAGAGAGATCTATGACTCATCTATTTATGATTGAATAAGTGCTTATGAAAGTACTCAGGCAGAGGATGTAGGGAGACAAAAGAGGAACAAGGAAGGAGCCCTATAAGCACAGAAATTTAGAGGGATCCTCCCATGTAAATGTTATAGGAAAAAGTAGAGATGGGAGGAGAATTAGGAGGAGCTGTAATTACAAAAGATATGGGAAGGGCAAAATTTCAAGAAGATGGTGACTATGATAAAGGTGTGTGACGGTCACAAAGGATGAAAATGGAACACCAATTCTGAGAGTTTAAGAAGATTTTGGCTTTTCAGGATTTTGGTAAGAGCTGTTTCAGGGGCAGAACCTGGATTAAATAGGATCTATAGATGAAGGTGAAGGAGGACTCCTGACCATGTGCAAAGCTGAGCATGTGGAAGCAGAGGTGAACAGCAGTAGTTAAAGGCAGCTCAAGGGTGGGATTTTAATATTGGGAGTTTAAAGTGTATTTTTATTGTGAAGGAAAAAGAACCAAGTAGGACATGGTTTAGGGAGGACCCTGAGATAAGATGTCCTGGGGCAAGCAAAAGGAGTTAGAAAAGAAAACTAACAATTTGATAGTTGAAAGCAAAGAGTATGAGAATTGTTGTTGGGAATTGACAGTGAGCTGAGGAGGTAAGAAAGGTTACAAGCTGCTAATGAGTATGTAAAGAGTCTCATGCTTTCCCGTTAGAGAGTTAACTAGGCTTGTAATGGTAGTCCAGGAAAGCAAGGAATGTACACTGAAAATTTAGCAATTACTGTTTTCTGAAACAATGACTGGAAAGTGCTGAAGGGCTGTAATTTATTCTAAATGACGTTTAGATCCTAGAGTAATAACAAAAAAGATCCTTGTTATATCACCTTTCCTTCCAACGGATTTTTTGCTTTTTGAATGTCCAAACTACATTCAGTTTTAATATTTCAGTGTTACCCTCACATTTCTTTGGGAATTTTTAGCCTTTATCAATTGTCTTGTTCAATTGTGTTGACTTGGGAGAAGATGTTGTGTGATGATGATGTGTGTATGGAATGATTTTCCAGCATTCTTCTTTCTCAGGGTTGTTTCTCTGTAGCTACTTGTTATTTGTCTCATTATTTATTTGTAATGCACTTGTAAGTGTAAACTCTTCTGTCAGCAAGCCTGATACCGTAAATATTCACAAAGACACTTTTGGAAGTAAATAAATACTTTTTTTTTTTTCCTTTTACAGATGAGATCATTTCAAGCTCTTTTTTTGGAAGAGGTGGTCAAAGGAAATGGATAACTATTCAGACTTCAATACAAAGAACCTCTCATCTTCAGCTAACATGTCCATTTCTTTGCCTGGACAAGTTGGACTCAATACCACCGGTGGTACTCCTTCTATGTCAATAAGCAGGCTTTTCCCAGCCCTGTTAGAATGCTTTGGAATAATTCTTTGTGGCTACATAGCTGGAAGAGCCAACATTATCACAACAACTCAGGCCAAAGGACTGGGAAATTTTGTGTCCCGTTTTGCACTCCCAGCTCTACTGTTCAAAAACATGGTGGTACTTAACTTTTCTAATGTCAATTGGTCCTTCCTGTACAGTATTTTAGTTGCCAAAGCTGCTGTGTTTTTCTTAGTCTGCATTTTAACATTGTTGGTAGCCAGTCCTGAGAATAGATTTAGCAAAGCAGGTTTGTTCCCTATTTTTGCTACACAAAGCAATGACTTTGCACTGGGATATCCAATAGGTAAGTAGTTCCTTATGCTTTCTTCTTTAAAACTATTTTTCAGTGTTCTAGACATGTTTGCTTTTATTTTTCCATAATTTGAAATTGACTTCTGCACTGAAGTTATGAGCTATCTAAGCCATTTCTCAAGTCACATTTCTTGACCTTAGACCATGTAAGGGAAGAAAACTGCCAGCTGGTATGAATAAGGCAGAATTTAAAACAACTCAACTACTGTTGTCTATGTGATCCTGTCATGTTAAACAGATGAGGGAAAAAAAAAGGATTTAAAATATAACTTCAAAATTGGTATAAATTGGTATAAATTACCTTATACTTACTGCAGGTTCAGAATGCCCTTATGGGAAATTGCCAGAGTTTCCCTCGACCAAAATTTCTTGCTTTGCAAAGTATGAGCCTGTACCTGTGGCCTCTGAAGTAGCTGTAGTGGGTGTTTTACTAATTTGGCATTACCTCTGGGTTCAGCTCAAAGAAAACATCTCTCCATAATGTTGGTGCCTCCTGGTTGTGGAGTGTGTGTGTGACAAACTTGAAATCTGCGCAGAAAAAACTTCTAATTTTTGTGCTGCTTAACATAATTTATGTAGCCAATCATGTTTCATCCCTTAATCTTTATTCTGTTGTGGCCAGTAGACATGCTTTAGGATATAGTCTTGGAAGAAGTCTGTCTTTTAAAAGCAAGATTGCTGCGTGATTTATGGTAACTTGCATTTGTGTATCTCAAATCAGAATTTTATGCAGCTGTGGTGCCATTCTTGGGATGTGTAACTAACCACTAGTCCAGTGGAGCTAAAAAACAAACAAACAAAAAACGAAGAGGCATTCAGAGGATAACTTGTATAGCTCTGTACTCTTGTTCTTGTAAGCCTATATTCTGAATTCCAAGCAATATCAGTTATTAAACTTAATTTTATCCCAATCTGCAAGACTATTATTTTCTTTCCTTTTGTTAAGGAAGATTTTTTTTTTCTGTTTCCTTTTTCTAGGTTTTCTTAATGGTATGCTAATACACTTTCAGCCATACATACTCTGATACTCAGGAAGTGATCTGGAGTTGTAGCAGGCTTCTCCCACCTGCTACTGTCTGAATTGCAGTGCTTTTTACCTGCCTTGGGAGGCTCTTTTGTGTCAATGTAGCTTTCAGTGCTGCCTCTCCCCAGGCTGACCCATGTGGCTGGTGTGGGAATGCACGCTGCAGGTATCAGGATCTTCAAAATACACCTGGAGTGGAAGGCATTTGGAGAGGATGCCTGGACTATGTTTTATTTGTTTGCTGCTCCCTGAAGATAAAGTACTGGGAGTGCAGGGAGAAGATTAGAAAGGTGAAGGCCCAGAAACTGGCCACTGGCCGTTAAAGATAACAAAAAACGTTTTTATAAATACATCAGCGACAAAAGGAGGGCCAGGGAGAATCTCCCTCCTTTGTTGGATGCGGAAGGTAACTTTGCCATGAAGGATGAGGAGAAGGCTGAGGTACTTAATGCCTTCTTTGCCTCAGTCTTTAATAGTCAGACTGGTCATCCTCGGGGTTTTCAGCCCTCTGAGCTGGGAGATGGAGATAGGATGCAGAATGAAGGCCCGGTTGTCAAAGAGGTGGCAGTCACCGACCTGCTCCTCCACCTGAATGCTCACAAGTCCATGGGGCCAGATGGGATCCATGCAAGGATACTGAGAGCGCTGGCAGAGGAGCTTGCCAAGCCACTCTCCATCATTTATCAGCAGTCCTGGTCAACCAGGGAGG